CGAAGGCTGTGCTCTTTAATCTTCATAAGTAAATGTTTCAAGTCCTCTTCACTTTCAGTAAACAAGGTTGTATCATCTGCATGTCACAGGTTGTTAATGAGTCTTCCTCCAATCCTGATGCCACGTTTTTCTTCATATAACTCAGCTTCTTGGATTATTTGCTCAACATACAGCTGTAAACATCCATTAATAATTGGAAAGTAGAACTTACCCCATAGGATTTCCTAGGTTGCCAGTTCGACTCTGAAAGACAGGATCACTATTAGTTGGAATCAACCCAAGGGCACACAACAACAAAAATCTTTCTGAGAGCAGATCACCAGGTCTTTTCTCCTGCAACCTGCTGTGGAACACCTCTGACATTTTCAGTTAGCAGTTGAGTGCTTACTCATTGCAGTGTTAGAGTTTCTTATACCTGGTGTGGTGCTGTAGGATAATCACTCAACCACAAGCTTAGTTTGAACTACAAGATTGGCTGTTCAAACTTAACTAGCCACTCCTTGGAAACCCTATCCAGGGTCAAGATGAAGCAAAACCAACTTGGCAGTACTAAACAACAACACACACAAACTGGAAACACTTAGAAGAAACAAGAACACAATTTTTTAAAAAAGGGATAAATGAAAGCTGAAAGGATGTGGGATATATCCTGATTATAGTCAGCCAGGGTTGATTAGGGGCTACTCTGTGGAAAAGATTAATTTCAAAATGGGATTTCATGGTGGGGAGGAATTGGTAGAATGGCAAGAGGGAGAGTAACATGCAGAGACAAGGGAATCAGCTATTACTTTTGAGAGATGCCTCACTGAATTTTCCTGGAAATTCTGAAGCAAGAGAAGGACTTTGAAGTCTATGCTTGATAACAAACTCATTTATTTCTTAAATGAATACTCAGAAAAATGGGTCATTAGTTAGACAACAAGAATAGAGAAACCTCGAGGTAGAAATATCTAACAGCAGTCTGGGATTCTTAGCACCATGCTGGTGTGGAACCCCTAAGGCTGGAAGCTCCTAGGGTCAGAGGTCAAGCTGCTGGTCATGTCAGGAGACTGGGACTTGCATGCCAGCTTCCCTGGGGTCCCATTTGCAACAGAGATTTCTTCTGCTGTATACACTTTCAAGCTGATACTCCAGTTGCTACTGTAGAGAGAGGAATGAAGAAAACTTAAGTAGGATCAAGCATGAATGTCACTGTGTGTATTAAGTTGTGAGGCCTATCCATTAATCTGCTGCCGTTTCATTGTGTGTCTCTAGCAGCTGCTTCCTACAAGTAGGGTAACTGCCGAAGGTCCATTTTTAATGCTGTGCAGAAATCATTTTTACTTCTTAAAAGTTCTCAGATCCACCTGTTTCATTTCAATTGTTGTCACACTGAACCTTTCTCATTTTCCATATTTCAAGAAATGGAAACTATGTTAAGTAAAATAACACTTCATTTTAAAACCATGTTTATTATTTGTTGTTGTTGTTGTTGTTGTTAAGTGCCATTGAGTCAATTTCGATCCATAGTGACCCTGTATAGGATTTCCAAGGAGCAGCTGGTGAGCTTGAACCACCGACCTGGAAGTTCAAACAGCTTTGCAGTCTGATATATTAGCCCACAGAGCAACACTACTATCAAATTGGTGCCAACTTATAGCAATCCTATGAACAGTGAACTAAACACCACCTGGTCCTATGCTATCCTCATAATTGTCATGTTTGAGATCATTGCTGCTGCTGCTGTGTTAGTCCATCTTGTTGGGGGACTCTCTTTTGTTGATGACCCTCCACTTTTCCATACATGACATTCTTTTCCAGGGACTGGCTCTTCCTGATAAATATGTCCAAAGTACAAGAGATAAAGTCTCACCATCTTCACTTCTAAGGAACATTCTGGCTGTACTTATTCCAAGACAGATTTGTTTGTTCTTCTGGCAGTCCATGGTGCTTTCAATATTAGTTGCCATTACAGTGTCTTAAATGCATTCGTTCCTCTAAGGTCTTCATTATTCATTGTCCAACTTTCATATGCATATGAGGTGTGCACCTTATTCCTCATACTGACTTCTTTGCTCTTGAACACTGTAAAGAAGTCTTTTGCAGCAGATTTATCAAGTCAATACATTGATTTCTTGACTGCTGCTGACTATGTTGATTGTGAATCCAAGGAAATTGAAGTCTTTGACAACGTCAATTTTTTTCTGGATTTATCATGATGTTATTTATTGGTCCAGTGGTGAGGATTTTTGTTTTCTTTACATTAAAGTTCAATCCATACTGAAGACTGTAGTCTTTGACCTTCATCAGTAAATATTTCAAATCCTCTTTGCTTCCAGCAAGCAAGGTGTGTTATCTGCATGTTGTAGCTTGCTAATCTTTCTCTAACCCTGATGCCACACTCTTTTTCAAATAATCAATCTTGTCAAATTATTTGCTCAGCATACAGATTGAGCAAGTATGGCAAAAAGATAAAACCTTGGTGCACACCTTACCCAATTTTAAACCATTTAGTATCCCTTGTTCTGTTCCAACTACTACCTCTTGGTCTATATGCAGGTTCCTCATGAGCACAATTCACCATTCTTCACAATACATATGATTTAAATGATTGTTCTTCTATGAAGTATTTAAGGCAATGTCTAATCTGTTTTGCTTTTGCTAGTGAGTGTCCAGTAACATGTATTAGAATATAGCTGATCACACTGGGTCACATTTATCCTCTCACTCATGGAGATTTTCTCACTTACATTCAGTTCAGGAAATAATTAAAATATAACCATCACTGTTGGCACAGTGGTGGAGTACTCAACTGTTAGTCAAAACGTTAGTGGTTCAAACGCACCAGTTGCTCCAGAAGAGAAAGATGTGATGGCAGTGTGCTTCCCTAATGATGACAGCCTTGGAAACCCCATAGTGGCAGTTTTACTGTATCCCATAGGGTCCCCATGACCTAGAATGAACTCCACAGCAATGGGTTTGGGTGTGGTTTATCACTCAGAATTTTTTAAATAGCTCTTTGCTCAAGAACTATAATTAGAAGCAAATGCAGGAATTATTAAGGATTGCTGCTAAAATCTTCATTCAAAAACACACATTTTCATGAACTAACTCAAGGCTAGAAAAATACTTCTTCAACCTAAAGATGGAAACCGTTAAAAGTCCATACTATCAAGATTTGTTGTTGTTAAGTACCGTCAAGTCGGTTCCGACCCATAGTGACCCTGTTTAGGGTTTCCGAGGGGCAGCAGGTGAAATTGCACCACCAACTTTGAGGTTCAAACCGACTTTGCAGTCCAGCACCTTAACCCACAGCACCATACCAGGATTCACTATCAACATTAAACATGTCCTTTTCAAATTAAGGTATTTGTTAAAGAAATATTCTGGAGAGAAGAGATATCTTCAGTGTTACAATTATTCTTAGAATACAATAAGCTGGCAGAATAAGGAAGGGTATTGTTGTCAGTTGGAATCCTGGTGTGGCTCTGTGGGTTAATATCCTGGACTGCAAAGCCGGTTTGAACCACAAGGGCGGCGGTTCAAGCCCACCAGCTGCTCCTTAGAAACCCTATGCAGAGTCGCTATAGGTCACAACCAACTTGACAGCACTTAACAACAACAATTGTTGTCAGGGACTGATGAAGGTCTTGTTTAGAATATTGTTCTTCTGTAGGGCTAACTGTGACTCTAGGCCATGGAGAACAAGTTTACTCATTCTCCTCTTACCCTCTAACCCCCAATGCCTTCTAACCTCTTCCAAATGTTTATACTCAGGACACAATGGGGACTTTTGGTTATTCTTTTAAACAAACTGATTGCCAGACTGTATCAAGCAGATTTTTCTTTTTTCTTTTTTTTGCAAAAGACAGTGGGTTATTATTGTATGGAACAATGGATCATTCTTTGTGGTTCAAACCTCAAAACAAGCACTTCTTTAGACAAGAAGCAGAAAAAATATGTTATTATTGTTGTTAAATGCTGTTGAGTTGATTCCAACTCATAGCAACTCTGTGTGGGGTCGCTGAGGAGCGGTTGGTGTGTTGACCCTGCACTTCAAATTGATGTTGTGGCCCAGTGTTTATCCTACGGTGCCACACCAGGTCGTTTGAGGTATTTATTTTAAAAGACAGCACCACTGACCAGCTTATTTCAGGAAGCAGCATTTGTCAATAAGCCTTATTTATTCTCTGTGCTTTTAACTAGCTTTCTCGACATTCATGTGTACTAAAGGGAAAGCCACCATCTCAAAAATCAATAGGGTTTCTCGACGATTTCAACAAACTAGGTCTTTATCAAAGGCCTGGTTGCAGAAGCTGTTACTCTGAAAGGTTATATTAATATGGAACTAGGTTAAATGTCAGGGGAGTGAGGTGGCTCTGTAGAATAAGCTCTGTAGGATAAGTGGAAAAGTGAACCATGGGAGAAAAATGAGGCTTTCTGCTCCTGTAAAGATCTACAATCCATATTATCAAAAATCCTATACAGGGTCACTATGAGTCATACCATGTGACACTTAACAACAACAAAGGCCAAGTGTCAAAGTTTACAATCATAAAATGTTTACCAACGGACTAATCAAATCCTTAAGTGTTTTTTAGGCAATGTGTTTAAGTCAGATTTGATTTCATTATACCAAAGTTGGCTAGTAAGTGTTTTTTGTTATTTAATACTCTTTCACCCTTTGGCTAATTTGAACATGTAGCTCTTATAGGTAGGATTTTGAGTTTCAATTCTAGTCAGTCAGTAGCTTCCAGAAAAATAAAATAACTGCCTACACAGCTAGTTAATATGCTTTCATCCCTGACTTTCTATCTTCCTTTTCAACATTCTGAGTGATTCCAACGGCCGTAAGAGGAGTCATCAGAAACCCTGGTTTCTTTGTTTATCTTTTCTTCTTTAATAATCTTATCCTCAGGCCTACGCAGCCACTATTCCCATATTCCTATATTAACTAGACCAGGGCACTACCCCCACTGATACTATTGCCACTGGAGTCAGACTCAGGCATCCCTAGCTTTTTATTAGTTTGCTTTATGCCACTTCACTTTTATGAAAAACGTATATAGTAGCTATTTTCTCTAACAGGTAAAATTTTTTGCTTTCACGAGAGAAGTGTTTGTTTTGATGTAAGTCTTTAGAGACAGTAAATACTTGCAAAAGCCAGAGTGATGTTGCCAAGCTCCTTTCCCTGGAACTACACTCAGCATCAAGCCGCCATAGCTTTGGGTTATGTCTGTGAACACTATATTTTAGTGTTATTTTAGGTATCTTGTGTTATTTGGCTTCGTAGGTTTTTTTTTTTTTTTGGTTGGGGATGCTCAGGAATTTTTCCTATATAAATTAATGGTAATGGTTTCTTCACTTTATGTCATTTTGTCTTAAGAAAGTTTTCACAGGAACATAATACTTCTGAATAGCAGGAGAAGCCTGTCGTTTTTATTATTATTATTTGGTGACGGGTTGTCCTGTGCAATGTAGGGGTTACTATATCAGCTCAGACATGGTCAAAGTCTTCCTAGTGATTCACACGGTCCTACATGAGCCAGCTCTCAGACCTCATCCCTACAAACACAGGACAGCCTCTTGTCACCTTGTAGTTCTTCTGCTGATGATGAGTGTCTCCAAGAATAGAGAATACTATGGGAAAAGGGATTAGAGGCAGCCCGGGACACCATGATGTCATGAAATAGAGAGAAGAGTAGTCATTTGTGCCAAACAGGGCTGAGAGCCAGGTACACAGCATTGTTGACTTGAGGGAGAAGTTTCTGTAGAGACCCTTGCTTGAAAGTGTATGTGTGTACCATCTAGAATCCACAAAGCACTCTTACCAAACACAGCATAGCAGTTTTTGACGAAGTGAAAGGCATCATGTTAGAAAGGTCCTGTGTGAGTAAGGGGAGAGACTAAAACACAGATTTCCCTTTCAAACTACATTTTACACAGCCCAAGCAAGAGATGAGTTCACTGGTTTCTTAGACAATTGGGAATGGGTTTTCTTTGTTCAAACTTTGTTTGTTTGTTTGTTTGTTTGTTTGTTTTTTAAGTGACTAGGAATATTATAAAGGAGCTCTGGTAGCATAGTGGTTACGAATCGGGCTGCTAACCTCAGGGTCAGCAGTTTGAAACTACCAGCTGTTCCTTGGGAGAAAAATGAGGCATTCTGCTCCCATAAAGATTGACAGCCTTGGAAACCCTTTGCAGGGTCGCTGTGAGTTGGAACCGACTCCACGGCACATAACAACAACAAAGGAGTATTGTAGGAATACATAGCAAAATTCTCATGGAATTCAGATGGCTTATATTTAAAATCATAAAAAAGGGCACTTTGGGGGCTGATGAAGATTATTAGAAGTCCAAATGTAAAGAACACTGA